ATATTCGACCACCACCAGAGTACCCGGATATTCGACTACTTTTCTATTTGACTGCCACCGAAGCGCTGAGATCCTCGACTACTGTTGTGTTCGACTACCACCAGAGTACCCGGATATTCCGACTACCTTTCTATTCTACTACCGTTCTATTAGGCTACCACCGAACAACCGAGATATTCCACTACCGCTCTTTTCGACTACCACCGGGACACTGGGACATTCGACTAGTTTTATTCGACTACCACCGGAGCACTGAGATGTCCGACAACCGCTCTATTTGCCTACCACCGGGTAAAAGCGACTATTCGCTGGCATCACGCGCTGTGGCATTACCCAACGACCACATCCACACCGCTCGTCTGCGCGCCGCGCACAACTGTCACGCCACCAGAGAAACACCCGGCGCTCTGGAACATGTATTCTGCACCTCTCAGAACACCGATCTACCGAACACCAGAGCTACAAGAACACCTACCTGCGTGCGGTCACGCTGAGAGGACAACAAAAGGGGCCGTTCCGACGGCGAGGGCGGCGGCGCGACGGCCCCAACTCCACCTCACCTTCTGACACCGAACCCGGCGCAGCGGGCCGCGGCCGCGCCGCGCCCAACAGCACCCTGGCCGCGTCCGGCGAAAACGCGCGACGAACGCGGCAGAGTCGGCGTCGTCCTCGTCGTCAGCAGCGGCATCAGCGGCGGCAGCGGCGGCGGCGGCGGCGGCGGCGGCGGCGTTGTCGTCGTCGGCAGCGGTGGACCTTGCCCCAGTCGCGGCCGCTCGGCTCCGCACGCTCGCACGCTCGCTCGCTGGGCGCCGGTCGGCAGACAGCCGCTTACCTCGTGCGAGGCGAGGCTCTGCAGGCGGCGGCCGGCCGACTTACCGTCGGCTCAGTAGGGACGCGGAGGCTGACCTGGGAGAGGGGCGGCCCGGTCAGCGGAGGCCCGGGCACACACGGGTCACGGGCCGGCCGGCCGGCCGGCCACCAACCTGGGAGACGGGCGAGCCCTCTCTCTATCTTTCGCGCGCGCGCCGGGCACCGGCGGCGCTGCGGGACACACGCACGCGCTGTCGGCGGGGCCTACCTGTGAACACTTACTGTGGGCCGACACGTGACCGGTGGCGGGGCGCGGTCGGGAGGGGCGACTCCCGCCGCGCCGACGCCGCGCCACGGCGGCTCCGACACGGGCCGGCACAGACCTGCCTCTCGCTCTCGCGCGCGCACATCGGCACCACCTGCCCCCACGCGCGGCGTCGCGCCGCCACCTGGCCCCGAGCAGCGGCCGGCCCGGCGCGCCGACAGGGCCGGGGCGCGCCGCCCGCCGACCTAGAATAAAGAGCGGGCCGGCATTTCGCCGAGTCGGCCCCCGCTGCCGGGGACCGCTGGGGGCTGTCATCGCGCCCAACAACGTGTCGGGCACGTTGTGAAATGCCGGGGTGGTCGGTTAGTTGCGCTGCTTCGGCACGGCCGCCGCCGCGCGGCTGACGGCGGGCTGGCACCTGGCCGCACGCTTCGGCAGCGGCAGACGCGCCGCCAGATCGCAGAGATCGCCAGCCGGCTACACTTTCGGACGACATTATCTACAACGGGTTCACAAATCACTGGAATTCAATAGCTGTCCGTTGAAAGGAGCGCTTGGACACCGAGCCGTTTCTGGCGGCCAACCGCGTCACCTGGCCATGTGGCTAAATTCACTGCGAGCTCACGGCTTACCGGATGCGCCGCTAACTTCATTTGACTTCCACGAAGTCTAAAACAGAAGAGCCTGGGAGCCCGGCGGCCATTTTGTTAGCCCCCGAGGCACTGACAGCATTCTAATGAAGGATTTTCGCGCGGCGGTAAAATTGGCGCCAAGGGGTAACCCCAACACTAGTTATGCGTCCGCCCTTTCCTGACGGGTGGTTCAGCAATCCAAGACGCGCCGACAGATGGGGGCGAACAATACCAATAGACAGGTCTAGCTCGCAATCCTGAATGGGACGAGCACGTCCCAACCTACCTCCGGGTCTCCAGCCACTCCGCCCTGCTTCGCCCGCGGCGGCCTTACAAAGCATACGTGTCCAGCGGTGCACGGAAACCGTTCCAAATCAGCGCCGAGCCGACACGGGGACTCGGAACCCCTGGACCAGAGGCTAAAAGGATGGTCGTCACATACGGGGAAACCCAGCAGACCACCTGCCCGTTTCAGTCGGTTACAGCGGCGCTGCCGCCACTGCGGCTGACATCTGCAGACACCGACAAGTTGAGACGCGTTCAGGACCACGTTCGACCCACTGGCCCGAACGAGGCTGGAGCGGAGGCTGCATTAGTCATGCCGAACTGCACCCACTTGAGGGCAGATGGAGGGGGAGACGCCAATGGAAAACGCGATGGAGGGGGGGGGGGGGGCGGTATAGAGAGCGTGGGCGACTCGCGACTGCTTCACAAGGCTGGACGTGAGCCTGATGCGACGCCGACTACGAGCAGTGGCGGAGACCCCGTCATCGCGTCAGCAGGAGACTCCACGACAGACCACCCCATCCGCCGGCACCAGAGCCCGCCGGTCCGGTCAGCAGCACCGTCAGCGAGCGAGCAAACACGCCAGGAAACGGCGCCGCACACAGCTCGGCTCGCGCGAGTTCAGGAGACAACAACCGAAGTGGAGCGGGCCTGATCGGTCGCCACGGCCGACCGCTGAGCCGTCATCAGCTGACGGCGTGCCGCCGCCGGCCGGACGCGGGCGGAGCGCCGCGGTCTAGAGTCGTCTCTCAGCCGGTCACGTGGAGTCACGGGGACCGGCGGCTCCGCGTGCCGGGCGCAGGCGGGGCGGCGATATTCGCTTCGGAGTTGTTCTGCGCCGGCCGCGCACCCCAACCGTGCAAAATGGCAGTCGCGCACACCCCGACAGTGGGCCAGCACCGTCCACGACGACACACAACGACGCCGTACGCCAAGGAACCGCACCCCAACCGGCCACAGGGGACAGGCCCCGCTCGCGCGAACGTCACCCTACGGCCGAGCAACGACCCGAGACAAATGACACGCGCGAGCGGGGAGAAGTGTCCCAGCGTCCGGTGTCATGGCGGCGGGCATTCCGACTGTGCCAGCGCGTCCGAACCCTTCGAACGCATTTGCCGTGCCGGCGTGAGTGGAAACCCTCGCGTCTTCCTTCGTGGTCATTGGAACGTAAAGACGTGCCCAGGTGCTGAGGCTTCTGGCAAGAAGGGCGGCACTGAGGGAATCGAAACCCTGTACTTCCCAGACGCGCAGCCAAACGCCCCCCTCCCCCTGCCTACTCCCCCTGTTTCCCTGGTGCGCAGCTAACTACTTCACTATCAGTTAACTCTTACTCATCACTCCCTTGACCAGCAGTACATTACACTACACTGCACTGGCCCCTCCCTGTGCCCCTCCCGAACCCGATCACTCCCCGCGCGTTTCCTGCGTCTCTTTTTCTCTCCTCGCGGCATGACGCGAATGCTGCTGAACGACGCCCCAAATCCGTGAGGGAGGCGGCTGGATGGCGGCCGACACCAAAGCCGTGCCCTTTAACCCGTGCTCTGGACAAACTCAGTGTGACCCGCTGCTGGAGGGGGGGGGGGGGGGCGTGCCCGGGTCTCACAGCGGCACGGTGGTTCACCACGGCCGGGGCGCCGCTGACCAACACCTGCGGCCGCTGTGTCGGCCTGCATACAGTGCTGTCAGCACCGCTGCTTGGATTGGCGTCTGCACCCGCCGGCCTGACCCGGAGGCCGGACTTGCCCGCACGGACTGGTCCCCGGTGCTCTCGCACGGATCGAGGGCCGCGTCTGCCGACGTGGGCCGACAAGCCGACGGGAACGAGCGTGTGGCGTTGAGGACTACGACGCGACGCTGAGCCTGGCGACCCGACACATTCCCCAGAGGGCAGCGGTCAGCAGCGACCGCCACTCTCGGAGCTCCCGCCGCGTAAGCACGGCCTGCCAGCGCCCCCGAGCGGGAGGCGGGTGCCCGGGGGCGACAGTAGCCCACCGAGACAGACCTGCGGGCCCCCGCGCGGGAGGCGGGTGCGCGGGGGCGACAGAAGCCCGCCGAGAGACCTGCGGGCCTCCGCGCGGAGGGCGGGTGCACAGAGGCGGCAGCAGCCGACCGAGACAGGCCTGCCAGCGGGATTTTATCGGTTACAACCGGATGAGAGAAACCGCCGTGGAGAGCTGACGAGGGTTATGTTCGCGCTCTAGGGGCCCGCGGTCCCGTTGTCTTCACTTGGATCCAGCACTGGAAGCATTGGAGCAGCATATACCGTGTATCCCTCGTGCCACCGTGTGCCTCGTGGCCCTGGAACTTTTTGTTTCAACTAGATACGCATGTCACGAAGGATGCAGATGGATGCAAAGGATGCAGTATCATTTTAGGTTATGACTTTTTATTGCATTTTTATTATTTGAAGCATCGGTTAGTGCTCACGTTCTTGAAGCAGATTTGATTGTGCTCCTCATTTGAGTTTATTTCCATGGTGTTATATATCTGTATTAACTGCCGGATAATACATCCATACATCCCAATTACAACGCACTCTAACTGGCTGCATAAAGCGCAGTCACACATGACAAGCCATGATCACCAGTCTTTAACAGTTAAAAGCATACGCTGCAACTATAATACGATAATTTAACGCACTAAAAGGGGTACCTTATGGCCTTCAGTTTCTGTCCGTTTATGCAGAATTTATCCTGCAAAACGGCAACAAAACACAGAGTGGCAGCACCTGGATTCATCTGGCTGAATTACAAGCCCTGCTCACGCACTGGCTTTGAAAGCTGTTGAATGCGCCTAGTAGCTATACACCCGGGTGCCCGTCTGACTTACGCTGCACCCACTGACCCCATAAACACGCCCGTCATATCCCCCGCTCCTTAACGGCTGACTGACAGCTGACCTCAGGACGACGCCGGGCGACGCTCGTCCCACGGAGCAGATCCCCCGCGGCGGACGCGCGGAGGCGCTGACCGCGCCGGCAGACGCCGCTCCGGCACGGGGTCGCCCAGCCGACGCCGGGACGGGGTCAGAGCGAGGTCGGCGGGAGGACTGACACATGGTGCCGAGCCTTGCGCTGCGGTCTGGGCTTGGAGAAGGGGGTATCGTCAGGGATCAGGGTCAGGGTCATGGATCAGGGTCAGGGTTAGGATCAGGGTCAGGGTCAGGGTCAGGGTCAGGGTCCGGGTGGGGGCTGCTCACCTGTGGCCATCGGTGGCCGGCCCATCATGAGCGGCTGCTGCAGCCCGCCCGGACGCATCATCCCCATCTGGCGGACACACAGAGAGCACGCACGGTCACTAGCCGGCGAGAGCGCGGCTCACACACACACACATACACACAGCCGCGCGCGGTCGGCCGCGGCCGCGGGAGGCCGGCGGGCCCCGTACGCCGTACGGCAGCGCCACGCCACGCCACGCCACGGCCCGGTACTGGTGCCCGGTCCCTCGCCGGATGTAGTCCGGATCGTCTGATCGGATCGGTTGTTGGGATCAGCGCCCACGCTAAGCACCGCCCGTCGTGTGGCCCCTGAGCCCCCGCCCGATCGAGTCGTCGCCGGCCAGCGGAGGACCTCGCGGCCGAAGTTCAACGTGTCGATGAACGGTGCTCGGCACGGTCCAGCCTGCCCTCTGACCTTAGCCGACCGGCAGCGGCCCGCTGACACCGGCAGCAGGCCATTCCAGCCCGGGGCTGATAGTGAGCGCCTATGGCGACTCGAACCCACCCCGTCACGGGCGAGTGCACGGCACGGAAGGCGGGTTCTCTAACCTACCCAGCTATCGGAACCGGACTTCGTCCAGATATTGTCGCAACGACGTCGACTGCAGCGCACGGCAAATGCTACTGATTCTAACCAACTTAGGGCGAGAGAATGGCGAACAACACCCGCTCAGATTCCGACTCCACAAGAAGTGGATTCATGTCGTTGACGGGCAGTTAAAAACACAGCCCGGTATCTGCGCCACACGGGGACCTGCATACGAAGAGGACTCGCTAACCGCCGCAGGCAATATCTCGAACACTCCAGACTCACGTCGACAATTCTCGATCCACAAAGGAGCCGCCGCTCCTTTGAGGAAGCAGATGCGGCCGATTCCGAGCCCCGAGCCCCACTCCACCAGCAGTCACGCGCCAGCTGGTCCCGCGAGCGGCACCAGCAGTCACGCGCCAGCTGGTCCCGCGAGCGGCACCAGCAGTCACGCGCCAGCTGGTCCCGCGAGCGGCACCAGCAGTCACGTGCCAGCTGGTCGCGCGAGCGGCACCAGCAGTCACGTGCCAGCTGGTCCCACGAGCGGCGCGCGCCACGGGAGCATACAGCCTTTCAATGATAACTCACTGCGCGCCGTAACCAAATGGCTCAGTGGCTTATCGCCAGAACCCGCCGGCGGTCGTCAGAAACAGCGCCACCAAATATCACAGTCGAAACTAATCCGATTTTCCAAGATTCGCCACAGAAACCCACCTTCGGGGCAGACTTTCTCTGAGCTGCGGCGGCCCGCGGGTTATCAGCTCTTTATGAACAAATTGCGGGCAATGTCATTAGCGGTTCGTAATAACGACATCAGGCAGCTAGCTGCCACACTCATGGAAATTAAAAGTGGGGCTCATCTTTTCTCCCGGCGCAATATAATCCTTCCGCGCTGGAACGAGCGCAATCTCATCAACTAACCACGTCATCCGGTGGCCGTGCCCAGAGCACGGCGCCGGCCGCCGCCGGGCCGGGGCCGGGGCTGAGGATGGAGGGGGCCATCGGGGGGGGGGGGGGGGGGGGCTGCCGGGAAAACCCACCTGCATCGGCGGTCCTTGGGCGGCCATCATGGCCGGGTGGGGCGCCGCCGGCGGGCGAGCCTGGGGCTGGCGGTAGCGGGGCAGCTGGGAGCGGCGCTCCTCCTGAAACGGCACGGCACTCCGGTCAGTGGCGCTCCTGACCACGCCACACCCGCGCCCGCGGTCCTGAAGCTGCGGCAGACTGCGCGCACGGTAGGACCGGTCACACACCTAACGCAGCGGAACGCACCCGCCGTGATCTCACTCCAGCGAACAAGTCCACACGCCTTCGCGCAGGGAGCCCACGACGTTCGGTCAGCCATCACCACCGGGACACCGCGACTCGTGAAGGGAGGCGGATCAAGGCGGCGGCGGGTCCAAAGTGGCATCATGGGCGCGGCCGGCTACGGCGCTGACGTCATCGCCCAGCCCGGCCGGCGATACAGTCACAAAATTAGCCGCTCACGCCGAGAGAAATCTCGAGATCGAGCCAACTTCGATTCACCTTTTCACCTTATGTCTCGGCGAAAAGCTATCTTTGTGCCGATCCTCGTCGACCGCTTTTCACAGAAGCGATCTCGCATACAACTGCCCATGCGTTTTCCACATCTCGTAAACACGAAACGCCATACAACTTGGTCTTCATGGTACAGAAAGAGTAAGCGATCTTGACTTGTTAAAACGTCTCATCGTCAGCTTGCTTACTCGACCTCCTCCGTTTCTTCACGTCGCTGCCATAAATATTCCGGCAAACACACGCGGGTGAAGAAGCAAAGTACTGAATCCAACCCCGGCCAGTCAAAACTATGAGCAAGACATAATCCCAATTATCAGTGACACATCCTGCTTTGGTTCTTGACCTGCTCAATGAGACGCCTTTCCCAGTATGTGCAAACTCTTCTGACCTGTGAGAAGTACAGGTCTGGTGCACACTACTGACCAGCGACGTTCTACTGGACATTTTCAGACGTACCTTACTGACTAGTAACCAGTGACATGCCTTGGCCCGGTGTACACTACTCACCAGTGACCAGTAAGATGTCCTGCTCGCGTGCGTTGCTGCTGTGTACACTACTGACCAATGAGATGCTATACTTTGGTGTGCTTCTACCGACAGGCCAGTGGCCACTAAAACGTCCCGCTCCGGTACGTCCACTACTGCCCAGTAATAATCCCTGGCCCGGCGTGTTCTCCGCTGACTGTTGCCCGGTGCGAGGCCCCGGTCCGGCGCGCGCCGCCGCCCACTGACCAGTGAGATGTCCTGTTCGGGGTGGATGATCTTGCTGGTGGCGCCGCCGGTCTGCTGCACCAGCGCCGGCTTGCGGCTGATCTCGGTGGCCGTGGGCGCCGGGCCGGCCGCCGCCGTCGTCGCCGCCGCCGCTGCTGCCGCCGGCGGCATGCCCGGCGGCAGCGACGGCGGCTTCGCTACCGTGGCCGCCGACTGGCTGCGGACAGGAGCGCGCAGGCGGGGTCAGCGGCAGGGCTCGAGCGCCGCGCCGTCCCGCGCCGGCCGCCGGTCGGCGGAGGCGGACGGGCGCGGCGAGGCTCGGCGAGGACGGGGATGATCGCAGCTTTGGGACGGGCCGACGCCGGGATGTTTGCGTACACCGCGGAGTAACCACACCAGCGCACGGTCCGGGAACGGCACGCCACGATCGGCTGGGCGGCACGATTGTGGGCGCCCGGCGAGCTCCTGTTGGGTCAAGGACTGGGTCCGGCCCTGAGATATAGCCGTCACCGGACGTCGAATGAGCGGCTGGATGCCGGCGGCCGGGTGTGGAAGCCACACCACCACGCTCGGCAGGGAGGCGGCGCTGTCGACACAGCGGCACGTGATCCTAGGCTGCCGGCCCACAATTGCTAATGCGAGCGGAGTGCGCAGCGGGTGAAAAGAACGGACGTTTGACGCCGTGACTTTGTCCTCTGGCCTTGCGACCGAGCCGGCTGATTATGAGACGGCGACAAGGGAAGATCCCGTCCAAGGCAGCACACTCATGGGTCGATCATCCCAGAGTGCTGAGCTGACAGACGACGCAAATTCCCCCGTAACACGAACGCGACGCTGAATAGACTGGACAAACACCGCCGGTTAGCGGGTCAGGCCCGCCGCTGTCCGTCGGGAGTGTAAACAAGGCATTAAATTGTGCAGTTACATCAACATGTAATGATGCATGATGCATCAACGCTGTATACAGAAAGCCACAAACGCCCTCCGCCAGCGCGCAAACAGTGCGCCAGCCTCGGTCCCGGCCAGCGTGCCGCCGCTCCCGGCAGCAGGCCAGGCTGCACGGCGGCGGCCAGCGGCGCCGCGCCGTCGCCGCCTGCGTTAGACCCACGGAGCCTGGCCTTCACCATCGCGCGCGCACCGCACGCCAGCCGTCAACACTCACCTGTACGCCGGGAACGTGGAGCGTGGGTTGCTTGTACTGAAGGCCGGCGCCGGCGCCGACACCTGTCGGCCGAGACAAGAAGCATTGGTACCGAAAACGGCCACGGGCAGGAGGGCACTGCTGCTGCGGCCTCAACGGGCATGGCAAAAACAACGAACACGCCTATCGATGATGTAGACACAGTCTTGTGTTAACTGATTATGAAATAATTCGCAATGCTATAAATCATGCAGCAGCATCACGCATCACCAGAAACGCAGCTATAGCTGAACAAAATGTAGCGAATCATAAAAACGTCCAGCCAATACTAGTAACAGCATCATGAACTGATGTTTCCATATATGTCCAACCAATACTAGCAACAGCATCATGAACTGATGTTCCTATGCGTGTCAACAAACGACGAACTCATCAACTTCGACGGCGAGACGATGCCAGATATTAGTCCAACATTCCACCAAACAGAATATCAACCTAACAGCACGCAAACCCCCTGCACAGACTGGCACCGCAAAACGCGAGTGCCGCATCGCTCCACCGGTCTGCGCACGAGGCGGCGGTGCCAGGCCTCCGGCGGGCGTCCGGGGCCGGCCCGCCGCCACACCCACCTGGGCGGCCGGGAAGAGGGGCCGCGAGGGGCCCACGGGCGGCATGCCCATCGGCCGGCCTCCCATCGGCATGCCGGCCATCGGGCCCATGGGACCCATCGGTCCCATCGGTCCCATGGGGCCCATCATGCTGCAACACATCGCGCCGTCAGGCCACGTGAACACCGGCTCGCCGAGCCGTGCAGGAGGATGTGTTGGGTGTTAAGCTTACAGACGGTAGAGACATCGGTATATGTTGCCAAGGTCGAGACACTATCCGCACGCGGCATGCACGTAGCCCGAGACAAGCAGGTTTTCTCAAATCCGTAAGCGTGTCATGAAATGGAAACGTTGACAAAACCGAGGCAAACCAAAAACGAAGGTGTTGTTAGAATCACTATCATGGCTCCATTCGATATCTTCAAATATCGCAAACTTGGAGTCCGTTACCAAAACACGGCTTACAGCCTACTTCAAACCACAGCATAAAACCCCGAACCACAACCCCAGCAAGACACCCACAGCAGAGTCGCCCGCCCACATCCACGCGAACACCTCCACCCATCGGCCACCACAGCCCGCACCCTCCTCCACCCCATGATGCGGCGCCGCGGCCACCGCCGCACTCACCCCGGATGGTGCATGTACGGCGGCATGGGCGCCACCGGCCCCATGTGGCGCATCATGGGGGCGCCCGGCGCCACGCCCGGCATGGCGGGCACGGCCGGCGGCAGGCCCGAGAACGGCTGCTGCGTGGCTGGGTGCAGCGGCGCCGCCTTGGCCGGGGCCGGCGCCGGCGCCGGCTCGGCCGCCGACGACGAGCCGCCTGCGGAACGGACCGGCGCGTCAGCGGGGGGGGGGGGGGGGGGGGGCGGCGGGACACCTTTGCTAACATTACGCGAGGGATGGGCTCCGTCTGAAGACTGGCGCCGCGCGTCGGCAGTCGATAGCGAGCGCCTCGGCTGATAGCGAGCGCCTCTGCTGACAGTCAACGCCTCTTCTGAGAATACCCTTCACCCCATGACGCGGGTAAGGGGTATCACAGGCACCCCTTATGGCTATCACATGGCTAACACAGCACGTCCAGCGGCGGGGAAAGGCCTCCGCCAGAGTGGACGCGCCGAGCCGGGACAGGAGGTCGCCTGTTTGACGCGGTACATCCCGTGACTGAAGACGGCGAGGGGACACCTCTGCCTGAGATGACTTATCCACGAGGTACAAAGAACATCGACATGTGTTAGATGATGGTGCCAGAGTGTGAATTAAACAACCTCGATGTTGCTGCGTCCAAACTGCCGAGTACCTACGAGCAGTAGGACAAACCCATTGACGTTCAGTCATGGATACCATACACTGCACGAGCGACGCGAGTACGCAGCAAGAACCAACCCAAGCTCAGTGGTGAATGAACAGATAGTGGTGTACCGCAAACCTCTGCACGCCTGCACCTTCAACAAAGCATGTCTACACCAGACCAGGCGTTTCACGGTGAACTGGGTCTCGGACAGGCCGCCTCAGGGTAGCACTAAAAGTCCTGCATCACACGGGCCACTACCGGTATTGGAGATCCCCGGCGCCAAGTCACGCGCCGAACCCCGGACACCCGGTCCACAAACTCGTCACCACTCTCCACATCAGCCGGAGGCATGCAATGGGCACAACAGGAACTACAACACTACTCAAACAGTATCAACAACGTGCATACCATCACCTCCCATCACATAAACATCACTAGGAAACAGTGGACACAATGCGTAAAAGTCATGCAATTACTCAGCCTGTACATACAGCCCATCTGTAACATTCCATACAACCATGGGCATCATTCACCACGACCAGGGGTAGCGGGTTGCTGTCCGTTCCGCGGCGGCCTGAGCCGGACGTCCGTCGTGCCCTGGCTCAGCCCCCCCCCCCCCCCCCCCCCCCACCGTGATGCGTACCGTCGCCGTCGGCGTCGCGGTTCTTGGCGTTCTGCTCGTGCGCACGCACGTCATCCTCGGGAATTCCCTCCATGCCATAGATCTCGATCTCGATGTTGTTGCGGTTGGGCAGGGCATTTGGCACCTTGTCCACTGTCTCCTTGTGCACCTGGTTCAGTGCAAGGTTGACAGATGGTGTGACAATGTCGACGACAGCAGGAACCAGTCTCATGTGACACAAGGTGAACCCCTAGAACCCCAGAACCCCAATTGGAAAGCTAATCATAACACTTCTAGCAAAAAATAACTTCCCCTTCCAATGCAGGAAGGGGGGGGGGCAATTAAAGCACAAGGAACACTTTAAGTGTGTTTCTCTGGATTCAGGGTTTTACCATCTACCATGAACATTGTGGGTAGCTCACATATCAATCTCCCTTCTACAGATGGCTACTAGATAGGACACAAAATTATGAAAGCATTTAGCCTTTACCCTGATTCCATTAAATATCACATAACTGATTTATTGACTCAAGACTACCGAAACCCACCAATAGCTACTGATGTGTGGTAATGAGCAACTATCCACCCTTCACAGATGTGGGAAATGGGTATGCCAATGCCCAAACTTGCATCATTGCTGTTTGAACATCATGGTATCTGACAGGTGACATACCTGCATGCAGTGAATTGAGAGTCCAGGTCCAGTGTAGAGTTTCTTGTGGCAGACATGGCATTTGAAATGTTTTGCCTTTTGGTGCTGAATCAAGATTTTTTCATCATCAAATTCTCTGTTGCAGTACCTGTTACCACTGGTTAAGGTTCAACACAGCTTAATTCAGGCATGGCCTGTACACATCCAACACACAGACACTTAAAGTGCTATTTTAACCATTCGACCTACTTTATGGATCACTGTGGGACTGCTGAAATTTGTAGTGTTTGGTGCTGCTATGCAAATACACAGATGAGCCTGCTAGTACAGATACAATTTAGAACAAGGCAAGAAGACCATTGACTTACAAAATAATTATGTGAAATGATTGTGGAAGGAGAAAAGGGACACTGTGACCAAAAGGCAGCCCAGCCTTCCTGTCATGAATGCAGATGGTGTGTAATAGGAAAGCAGACATAATGCAACATATAAATTCAAAACAAAAGACTTAAAAACACAATGTAATGATGCATTTTGTTATACCAATATATAGTGGTGTACAACATGTAGACATAAAAATACAAGAGGACACAAAAATTAAATTATTCATACATGCCACCTCCTGCATAATAGCCATTTCATATTGGGGCTCACAGTAATTCTGTATTTGTGCATGGTATGTTCATAAGTATACTGGTTAGCAGATATCAAGGTCATTATCCCAATGTGATCACATTTCTGGCCACACACACTGCACAATACATAGCAAAAAAAAAACGATTTTTCAATGCCTGGACTGTCAATTGATGGTATAAAAACAATGTTGTTTTGCTTTTATGGTTAAAATAATATATGTTGCTTTTTCTGATTATTCCTCGATGTTACGAACAATAATCAGTTGTCCCATATACACCTGCATTCTGAAAACATGTGGCTAAATTAGTTTATGTCAATGACAGCTGTAAAAGGATACCAGCACCATGGCTTTTGCTGCTTCTTCTTCTTCCGACCCATGTGGATATTTTACTGGCAACACCAGTCCCAGTCAAACTAGATGAAGTGGGAGGCAGACGCCTGAGACGACCTGAAAGCGTGCTTATCAAGCTAGTCTTTAAGAGAACAACAGGAAGAGCACTTCGACACCCAGAAAACCTGCTATCACGACGGCCGACTCTGCCCTTTTTATTACGGGCTCCAACGCAATCACACCCTATGCAACTCGCCAGCGGTCCCGGTGCACGCCGCCCGCGCAACAACGACGCTGACGAATGGCGACGAACGTATTTATTGATAGTGATGATGGCCTAAAGCATTTTTTACTGTCTCTTAACTAGTCCCGGGAAAACTGTGCACTATTAAAATAAGCTAAGGAAACAAAGAGTTGTGCTCCCATTTCGTTTAAAAGCTTTACTCAGGTTCTATTTTACAAGAAAAAATTCAGCAATCCACTGCCCAGCACTATAAATACATTGGCGAACAACAGTGCCACACTTGCCGAGCTCGCGCCGCGAGCAGTGGACAGCGGGGACGGAGGGAGAGACGAGATTATGGGTGGTTGAGTTCGTATTTCGGTGAAGTCGGCAAGTGTGAGCGTGAAGTTATTAAAATAGGTCTGTGCAATCTAAAATATGTTTGAACCAACTCTAGACCATGTTGTGATGGCTCACAGTGCGTAGGGGTCTGTGCGATGTACCCAGGGAACTTACATTATACTGGACCTTGCCCTCTGTGTGCCAAAATCAGGAAGGCCATATTGTCCTGAATGGTTATGCTGGGTGTGAAGCAGCGTGTGTAAGGGATTTTGTTGCCTGAAGTTACCTTTGCTACACTGATTCTTTCAACTGTTGACTTTTCATTGAAACTGGTTGTAACATGTGACAAGCTCTAAAAGTTTTCAGATTTGCTGGGGACACACATTCAAGTTACTGCCATGATGTTCACCCTGGACATGCTTTAGATAGCGTCTAATTTTGTAGTTCATGCAGCTTTACCATTTTTGCAGTGTTTGCAGTTTTGCATATAGAGCAAGGCAGAAGCAATGTTTACTGAGTTATCTTGTTTCCCTCCTTATGTGGGGTCCTGGGGCTGGTGTTTATGCTTCCCAAAGTTGTGGGTGTAACTTCCTTATTTTCCACCTGTTTCTCCACCTCTTTCACATGGTTTGTGATACAAAGTAGGCATTTTATCACATGCAATGCATACAACCAACACTGTTTGGTGTAATGTCACCAATACCTTTAAAGGATGGGACTGATTATGGGCTGGTATGCTGATAACTGCAACACAAAGACCTCAGTAAAGGGGGCTAGGAAATTTTTGTCTTAGCCATTTATGGTACTTGTGACACTGATATTGTTGCATGATAGAAAGCACTGTTGAAAGGCATCATCCACTTTTTGTACACCACATATTTGGGTCAATTGTTTTGTCAGAATCAGCCTCACTCTTGCCTGTGACATGAGGCCAGCCATTAAGCTGCCAGGTGGATAAGTCACAAGCTGAATGTGGGCAGAGCTTCAATCAAACCTTGTCTGGGGTTTCAAGGTCACATGGCATTAACTGGAGGCATCAGAAGCCAAAGAATCTAAAATATGTTGAGAGTTTCTGAAGCACAGTATCTGTAACTAAAAAAGTATTTGTAGTTGTCTTGACCAAGGGTCCTTGACCAATACTCTGGCACAGATTTGGTGACACTTGTGCCATGGGGTGTGATTGTTCACCTTGGTTTTACCGGATTTTAGCATTTTAGTTTCAGTTTGGTGTGTTGCATTAAGACATGACATAATTTCTGGATGGGGCTTGCTCATTATCCTTAGTCCTAAAAAACTGTTGAAGCTTCTGGACTGTGGCTCTTTCATGTTGACCTTGTTTGCAATAAACAGTGTGCAAGAGTCCATCCATAGATTGATTGTATTGTTGATGTTAGCTAGATGATATACCATAGTGCTTTTCTGTGCACTTAGTGCTCTGTGATATGTTAAGTGCTGGATGGTTGGCACTAAAGCTGAGCAATCAGACTGTAGCCCACCACCTCAGGTGCTGTCAGCATGCAGAAGTGGAGCAGAAGCTGTAAATCCCTCATTCAAATTGTGTGTTAGCTGTACATTGCTGCATGGTAAAAACAACAAGTTTGCAAACATATCCCATTCTGAGGCAGTCCTTGCTATATTCAACTAACCATGTATGTGCTTTTCAGAAGTGGCAGCCTGGCACAGGTGGCACCTTTTTGAATTAGTTGGTACCACCACAACACAGCCATCATGGGGCGACGCTCCATCAACTCAACCAAGAGCGGGAAGTACATGAACCCAACTGACCAGGCCCGTAAGTAGACACTGCAGCTGTCTGCTCCTTTGCTCTTGTCTGTAGTCTGGCCTAAGTCATTCTGGGAAGAAATTACTGTTTGGCTGGCATGGCTGCTTTTATGTAGGATGATGGTGATGAAGAAACACCCCCTTTGAGCACACAGGGTTTAACCATGTACATGTAGATAAAAACAATGGCATGCATGCAAAGCAGGCCTCCATCTTTTGAGACTCTTGTTATTGAGGGAAGCAGTATTAATTTGTGTTCTTATCTTGGGTAACTTCTGGATGGTCAAGGAGTTCTTCATGTCTCAAGCACCTGCTCACAGAATAGCTGCATATGAGGTCATATGGACAGGGTCACACAGTTCTGGCTGCACTTCAACTTTATCTGTTGTGCATACTAGGTCAAACCTTGGCCTCATTGCTGATTGCCATCCTTTTAGGCAAGGAGGCACGTCGGAAGGAGCTGAAGAAGAACAAGAAGCAGCGCATGGCTGTGCGCCATGCTGTGCTGAAGAACAAGGACCCACGCGAACTGCTGCAGGAGCTGGAGAAAATCGACAAAATGGGTAACTGAAAATGTTTATGTGAGCTCAATGTTTTGTGCCCAGTTCCCAAAAAGTGCACACAATCAGGACTCTTGGATGGTAGCATTGATTTAGCTGGCAGTGCACCCTGCTGGGATGAAACAATATGAGTACTTCATGGCACACATTGTAATCAGTAAAGGTATGATCTGTCACCAAAGTGCATCAAGAGCTTTGAACAGTAGTAAGTTGACTGGTAGTGAATATTGAAAATGTGAGAGTTCCATTGAGAAGTGTTGCAACTCTCATCACAGCATCTTGGTAGTCATCATCATCAGCATCACAGCCTCTGATCATGCATTGTGTTACAGAGTATAGCGTAGACGCTTCGGCGCCGCTCAGTGAGAAGGTGCTCAAGGAGAAGCGGAAAAAGCTGAAGGAAACGCTGGAACGCGTCCTCAAGCTCTATGTGAGTAGCTGCTGGGCGAAGGCTTATGCGATTTGGGTATCGACGCTAAGTTTCAGGAAGGTGTATCCCTTTCATTGCTGTGGTCCCCATGGCTTGATTTCCCGCCTCTTCTGTCTGTCCTTCCTACCAGGGCGGGAGGCAGGCGACGTCACATAGCCTCAGTGGCTGAGTGCTTCGTAAAGCCCCATTGACACACACTCATACACTTCCTGCCACGTATTTACGAACGTATTTAAACAGATCCCGACATAATCCAGCCGCCCGCATTGATGTCCAGCCTAGTTCGACAGCTCTGCCGCGGGTGGCGCTGAACCCGCCACGTGAACCCGCCGCGACCCCGCCGGGCGCCACGTCCCGCTGACACGCGCCGCCGCGCCGCTCGCCCGCCAGGAGAAGGAGGACCCCGAGTACTGGGCCGACATCCGGCGCTCCGAGTCCGAGTACGAGAAGAAGCGCGGCTCGCTCATCACCTACTACGAGTCGGTCAAGCACGCGCAGCAGGTGAGGCGGCGCCGCGAGGGGGACTGGCGCGGCGACGCGGCCGGCACCGGGCGGTGACGCGCGCCGCGCCCGTGCCGTGTTCGGTGGCGTCGCGGTGTTTGAGGGGGCTGTTGTGACAGCGCTGCGTGATGCGATTTGGTTGCGTTCGCTGACGCGTATGGCTGGTGTCCTTTCTGCTGTTTAGGGTTTTTTGACTCGCGTCTCTGAGCCAATGTCTGTCTTGCCCGCTAGAATTGGGACGGTTGGTTGACTTGGTCCCTGATGGCCAAGTTCTTCAGCTGCCACCGTGTCGCTTCCAACCTGCCTCGGGTCCCTTATTTACTGTCGCTGCAGTGTCGCTGCTGACCGGAGTCCTGTCGGCTCCTCCCCAGCTGTGGGTTCGTGTGCGCCTCCGCGCCGCGCCGCGCTGACCAGCCCCGTCTCGCCGCCCCTCAGGTGCAGGTGGAGGAGATCCCGCTGCCGCAGAACCTGCTGCCGGAGACGGTGCCGGCGCAGATCCCGCTGCCTCCCGGCCTGGAGCTGCCGCCGCCGCCCGCCGCCGGCATCCTCAAGAAACACGCTGAGGAGAGGTGGGCGCGCCCCGCGCGACCGGAGTGACGGGTGCGACGGGCGCCGCAGCCGACGCACGCCGAGCACGGCAGCGGGGCTGTGATGGGTTCGGCTTGAACCTTGTGCCCTGTCTGGAGGTGTGCTCGTCTACTAGGGAGTTCTCCTTGTTCTGCGTCCTCTCCCGAAGATCTGGTCGTTCTCCAGGAAGCTGGCCCTCCCCTGTGTCCTGTCTGAACTGTTACCCTCCAGGGAGCTGGCTTTGCCCTGTGTCCTGTCTGAAGGCCTGACCCTCTCCAGGAAGCTGGCCCTCCCCCGTGTCCTGACTGAAGGCCTGGCCCTCTCCAGGGAGCTGGCGCCAGTGCGGCGCGGTCCTCCGGGCGTGCCGCCGGGGCCGCCGCCGCCATTGGAGCTGCCCGAGGACGAGCTGGAGCCGGAGCCGGCCCGGGCGCTGCCGCTGCCGCTGCCGCTGCGGCTGCCCTGGCGCCGAGGCCGTCGCCGCGGCCGCTGCTGCTGCCGCCGCCGCTGCTGCCGGCGCTGCCGGCGCTGCCGGCGCTGACTCCTCCGACGACGATATGGAGCAGGATGGTGAGGCAAACGGGAGCGAGGGGCAGAGGACGGGACGCCGGTATACAGAACAGTTGATAGTGACACTGGAACACGATGGGGGGGGGGAGGGGGTGGTATCAGCGGAACACGGGATGGAGGACGGTGGCACCTGGAACAATGGACAAGTCGGTGGCGCTTGGCACCTCGAGGTCGGCTCATTGGACGCAAACCAGGCAGATGTATCCATGCACGGACGTGATAGAGCGCTACTGGTCTGTAGCAGCCCCAAATGAACCCCAAACGAACCCCAACCCGTGCTGCATCTGTGGTGTCGTCCACCGCCCGGCGCCGGCGCCGGCGGCGATTCTGACACCGCCCGTCTGGCGTCGACAGAGCCGGCGCGCGCCCGCCGCATCCGCTTCCAGGGCGAGGAGGCGCCCGAGCGGGCCGAGGAGCGCGCCAAGGCGGCCTCCTTCAACACCATGCAGCTGAAGATGCTGCAGATGAGCGGCCAGGACATCGACTCGTTCATGAAGGAGGTGCGCCCACTGGTAGCGGCCCCGCGCGCTCGCAGTGTTCGCCATTGGGAGGGGGAGTGTTCCAACTGTACAACGCCGCGTGCAAACGACCATTATGTAATGTTCAGATCCGCTGCAGGTGTCACGTGATCGAGCACTCGGTACGCTCCCAAACTCGAACCACCGTCGCCATTAGCAGATGCGTTTACCGTTTCGTCGGTGTTATGCTACGGCAGCCGCTGACCGTTGTTTGGTTCGGCTCGGCCCAAGCTCGGATCACCTCGGGTCCCTCTGTTGTCATCTTGTCGGCGCTTTCCCAGCCGTGTCGTGTCGAGCTCTGTGTGGGCGCCAGCCGCAGCACTCGCCTAACCCCGGGCGGCCAGCCTGACCGACTAACCCCGGCCGGCCGCCGCCTGTCTGACGGCCCGTCCCTCGCGCCGCCAGTCGGAGCAGCTGATGAAGCAGCGCGAGGACCGCGGCGCGTCCGACCTCCAGGAGCGGCTGCGCGCCGTCGGCCAGCCGGGGCCCTCGGCGGCGGCCGCAGCGGCGCCGCCGCCGGCGGCCGTGCCGGCGCCGCTGCGGCCGCTGGCACCGCCGGTCGACGCGCGCCCGGCCGCGCCGCACCCCGTCATGCCGCCCGGTGAGAGGGAGCGCCCCCCCCCCCCCCCTCGCACGTCCACCGCCTCCTTCCCTCGCACCTCCACCGCCTCCCGTCCCCTTCGCACTTTCACCGCCCCCCCCCCCCCCTTTGGCGTCATATGACCAACGTAGTCTGTGCGCCATCATCATCTCCACCGCCCCCTGCCAGAAGGTCGGACCGGGCGCAGTAAGCGAGAGCGATGCCAGCCGCCCAACGCGTACTGAATTCAGAGTGCGAGCTTTGTGTGATCTGGTGTGCGTGTCGGGATAATTCGTGACAGTTAGGTTACTCGCCAAGGATTCCTGAGGCTGCCGGGGACGATTATTTCGGTAAAGGCGTCCGTCGAAGGAAAGTGGTGTACTGGACGTTTCGGCCGGGGCGTCTTGAGGCAGCTTATTCTTCGTCGGACCGTGCCCATGCATGGCTCCTTTTTCCGTAGTCTCCGACCACTGCAGCGCTCTTTGGCATTTCCACTATAAGCCTCGACGCCAGGTGTTGTGACGTTTGTGTTGTGACGCCTGTGCTGTGACACCTGTGCTGTGACGCCAGTGCTGTGACGCCTGTGTCGTGACGCCTGTGTTGTGACACCAGTGTTGTGACACCTGTGCTGTGACGCCCGTGTCGTAACACCAGTGTTGTGACGCGTGTGTTGTGATGCCAGTGTTGTGACACCTGTGTCGTGATGCCAGTGCTGTGACGTCTGTGCTGTGACGCCTGTGTTGTGACGCTCGTGTTGTGACGCCTGTGCTGTGACGCCTGTGCTGTGACGCCTGTGTTGTGACGCCGCCTGCCCCGCTGCCGGCCAGGTCCGCCGCCGATGCTGCTGCGTCCGCCGCCGCCGGGCCTGCGCCTGCCGCCGGGCCCGCCTCCAGGCCTGCCGCCGCGGCTCCGCCTGCCGCCCGGACCGCCGCCAGGTACGACACGCTCGCGCGGCGCGGCCCTCCACTCAGACGCGCGCTCCTGGGTCCTGGGCACGCTCGCGCGGATGTCTGCCTTGTTCAAGATGGCCTCTGTGCCGTCCGGGGCTCGGCAGTCGTGGTCTCCGTGTGGCTGTCCGGACCTAAGGGCTACTGCTAAATTTGTGCCTAGTGTAGGCTGTTTGCATGCGACGGCATGCCCGTAGAATAATATATGCGTAAGGTGTATTTGTTTTAGCTAGCTATGCAGATAGGTATCTTTGTGATAACAGGATCAAAAAATCGTAAAAACACATTTTCAACGAGGAGCGCAAGGGGGTGACGGCAGTGTAGTGGTTAACGCGTCTGCGTTATTCACTACGCCATGCGCGTTTGGGAAGCCAGAGGTACGGGGTTCGATTCCCCGCGGTGCCCGCCCTTCCCTGCCAGGGTGACAGGCAGACAACGCCATATAGCCTCAGCAGAGTGCGTGCGTCGTCGTCGCTGAGTGCGTCGTAAAGCCCCAATGACACACACACACACACATACACAAGGAGCAGCGTGACTGTCAGACAAAATTTGGGCCGGTGGACATATGGTACCTTGCGGCATCCCTGTGGTTGGTTGTACCGCGGTCCGAGTGGTACATGTGTGATGTTCGTTACACGATGGCTGCCATTGGGCGGTACGAATAAAACGCTCCGGAAGTCACGAGCCTCGCACAACACTCCGTCTGTACCACTCCTACCCTGTGTCACCCCTACTGTGCCGCTCCACCCGTGCTGCTCCTACTGTGCCGCTCCGCCTGTGCCGTTGCTACTGCGCCGCTCCGCCCGTGTCTCTCCGCCTGTACCTCTCTGCGTGTGACGCCTAGCGCCGTGTACCGACAGGCGTGCCGCCGCGGCTGGTGCGGCCGCCCGGTCCGCCGGCGCCGGGCCCGCCGCCGGCCAACCCCAACGTGCTGTCGGCGGCGCCGCAGCTGCGGGACAAACAGTCAGCCACCATCGAGGCCAAGCCCCAGATCAGGTCAGTGAGCCCCCCCCCTTCCCCCCTCCCCACTGCTTAAGCTCCCCGAATGTGGAGAGAGCTATGATATGGCCTGGGGTTTTCATGTCCGTTTTTTTTTTTTAGGAAATCCCGGTCGTTGACGCAGGAGCGAGCGCCGCCTGGCCGGAGACTGCTGTGCGAGTGCATGGCTCCCAGACGTTAATATTTATGTGATTTATAGAGACGTTCGCTGCGTGACGGTTTGCAGTCGACGCGCCTGAAAACACCGAACTGACTATACAGACGTGTGTTCCCGTTTGCAGCGTGTTGTAAACCTGGCGCCAGAGCATTGCTAGAGTAGGCGATCAACGAGGGAAGACTCGCTACAGCCACCAATGGACGTAGTGTCTCGTTGTGGTGACCTGACCTGACGAGCCAGTGGACCGGTGTTGACCTGACCTGAGAGGTCGATGCACCACTGGTGACCTGACCTGTGTAGCCGATGCACCACTGGTGACCTGACCTGAGTAGTCGATGCACCACTGGTGACCTGACCTGTGTAGTCGATGCACCACTGGTGACCTGACGAGAGTAGTCGATGCACCACCGTTGACCTGACCTGACGAGCCAGTGGACCGGTGTTGACCTGACCTGAGAGGTCGATGCACCACTGGTGACCTGACCTGTGTAGTCGATGCACCACTGGTGACCTGACCTGCGCGCCCCAGGAACCTGGGCGCGGACGTGACCCGGTTCGTGCCGTCGGCGCTGCGGATCAAGCGGGACGACAAGCGCAGGACGGACAAGAAGTCGGGCGCAGGTCAGTGTGTGACCCCCACTCGGACCCACCCTCCCTCCACGAGTGCGGCGTCTCCCGGACGGAGGGCCGGCCGGTCCCGGGAGGCCCGCTCTGGGCGACTGGGGACTGCCGGCGAGGGTCGGTGCCGTTTGCCCGGGCTGGATCAGTTCACCAGCTCTGACAATTGGACTACCACGTCCGGTTCGGGCGCGGTCGTTTTGCTTTGGGTGCTGGACAACCGCAGGACATGCGACGTTCGCTGGGCCATCATTATCCTGTGACTCAGTCGTTCTAATAGCCAAGCTGACTCATCATTGCCCCCTCGTGGTTGGCCAGCGTGACGGCGACTCGTGCCGCTCATTGTCAGCCTCCGTTTAGTGTCACTGGGTCGTGTTTCGATCGGCCGGACTGGTGTTCGGCGTGCAAGACCGCCCGGCGCTCCTCCGCGGACGGAGCGGCGGCGTGCGGCCGGCGCCTGACGTGTCGTTCCGCTCCAGACGCGGCCGAGCCTGGCGCCGCGCAGCCGCAGCGCAAGCCCACCAAGGACGACGCGTACGCGCTCTTCATGTCGGAGATGCAGGGTCTGCTGTAGGCGCGCCGTCCTCGCTGCGGCACGGCCCGTCCCGGTCCCGCTGGGGCAGGCGGCGGGTCTCCAGACGGCGTGGGGGACGAATGTGGCTGCGTCCCTGTCAGAGCCGTGGCCGGAGCGGCCCAGCCCGCTCAGCACGCGTGCTGCGGTGACGGCGTCGACTGCCGGATCCAGTCCCGTACCGGCACAGACGGCAGGAGGGTGTGCACGTGGCCGACGCGGTCCCTCGGTTCATATGGTCCATCACGCGGCGTCGTGCCGTAAACCATTATTTGAATTCAGTTTGTTTGAGTGTGAGAGAGGAAAATATAGCATCTGTCCATTCGAAGGTTTCGTAATTGTGGAACGGGGGATAGTGAAATGGATGCAGAACAGCATGCGTGGCTGAATTGCGCGTGGGCATGACTTCTCGTGTTTGTGACGGTATTGAGAAGCACCTCCGCCGCTGGCGCTGATAAGACAGAATGTGTTGCGTGTACAGCACCTGCGGCAGCTGGTAAGGGAGAGGCTATGAGCTTCTTCTCGACAATAGGCACGCAGCACGCCGTGAGTGGGAAATAACGACGTGTATTCAACCTGCAAATGTGGTACCGACAAGCGATGTATGAAGCTAATGATAACCTTCAGCCTGATATATGCAATATAGCAGACATAGACTGCAACGTGAAATGGACCGAAAGGCTTTACACTGACATGGGGTTGGCGATTCTGCGTGGGGCGCATCACCCGAGCGATGCCAGGCCCGGGGACGGTGTCAGTGTGGACCGCGGCTGGCCGTGCGCCCTCCATAATTAATCACGTGCATTTTGCGACCACGTGAGCCGGCGTGGTGCTGGCTGGTGCTGGATGGGCCCGACTTGATATGTCAGGATTTTCGCGTCACTGGCTGTCGTTAATGACATCTGCAATTCTTCGTGGCGTTTCATCATGCACCCCCGTAAAGAGTCTTCCATGTCGTTTTGTGGTCATATCATTCCCTCCCCTCCCCCACTCTGGAACGTTTGTGTTCTTGTCATGCGAATGTATGCGGAGCGGCTGTAAGAACTGACTTGAGCACAAAATGTCTCGAGCTCCTGGCTTTTGGATATTATATATATATATATATATATATCGCGTATTTTTATGGGCGATAGGAGCACTGACTGAGGGCATATGCGCTCCGTAGAGTTCTCGAACAGTCGGGACAGATGCCGAACGGGTAGCCGTTTATTGGCCCGGCATCGACGCTGCCTTTCTCGTATTTAAGCCATGACCTCTACATAAGCAGACATCGCGCAATGTCGCTAGCACCTCATCCACTTTTCGTAGATATTTAAGGTTAACACGCAGTGTCATAGCCGGGGTTTTGCACAGTGAGTGAGGGGATGAACGCAAGACAAAATGAAAACTACCCCAGGTTCGCCAAAGATTCGCCAATAAGCTGGCTTCTCCCCGGATTTGACCAGCTTATCTCAATGTTAGAGGGTCGGAGCTGACGTCAAAACCCTGTGCAGTATTTCACATTTTCCAACCCCACGACACTAATAAAACTTTCACATACCAGACCATGCGGAGCGCTCACTCGCCCTGCCCGACACACCACACGGCCACGTCATCCATCAGCGACCCTCTCCGCCAGTACTTCCACACGGCCACGTCATTCCTCCAAGACCCCCGCCACCAGCACTCCCGCATGGCCACGTCACCCCTCAGCGATCCCCGCCGCCAGTACCCCAATACGGTCACGTCACCCCTCTGAGACCCCCGCCACCAGTACTCCCGCACGGCCACGTCACACCCCAGCGACCCTCTCCGCCAGTACTTCCACACGGTCACGTCATCCCTCTAAGACTCCCGCCACCAGTACTCCCGCACGGCCACGTCACCCCTCAGCGACCACGCCGCCAGTACTCTCACACGGCCACGTCTTCCCCTCCCCCCCCTCCCCCCCAGGTGGGGTACGGCGCGCCAAGCAAAGGTTATCGGGACTTTCCCACCCTACGCGCGAGTTTCCGCACGACTCGCGACCACAACATAGCACAGCACTGCACCGCACTAGCACTGCACAGCGAGAAATACGTGTTGCATGGACTGGCAAACTGTGCAGCGGTGTTTTCCTATCGCCGCCGCGCCAGTTTGTGAACCTTGCGTCGCGGAAAGTCGCTTCGCCATTTCTGCCTGCCATTCGCCCCGGCCGAGGCACAGGAGGAGCCGGGTGACCGCGACTCGGCACGCGCGTCACCGCCAAGGGAGCAGCCGCAGCGGAGTGTGGACAGAGCTGGCGCCACCCACGCGCGGTACGCCCACGTGTCGGCCACGGTTGCCTTGTGTACGTCACTGCCGTCGAAACCCAGTCACAAAAACAACAGCTGTCAAATGCCAACGTCTGCCCATACAATCACCTGATGGGATAGGCGCACCTGCTTGCCGCGTCCGCGCTCTTCACTCCATGTAGAAAAGACCACGCACATCCTCCTAGAGTCGCCTTGTATTCACCGCCGCAGATGCCAACAGGAAGCCAAATGGACAAGGTCACCTCTCTCCATCGCACCGTGCAGGTCCACCCAAACGGGCTGTCCGACCGGACCGGACGTCGGACCGCACCCGTCCCGCGCCAGCCGCGGACGCGCGCGCGGCCCGGCGCCAGGCCCCGTCGGCGGGGATTTGAAAGACGTACTGCACATTTAGTGTAAATCGGCACGGGACGATGAACTCAGAATTTCACAAGAGCCCAGCCCCGCGGGGGATTTCGGAGCCGCGGCCACCTTTAACGGCGACCGCCACTGAGCGAACGACGCTGCAAAGCCCCGGCCCGCCTCATAAATATTCTACGCATAACACGGATAAAACCTCCCGCTGCCTGGCGCCTGGCCGCGACCGGAACGATTCTACGCATGTCACGTGTAGAAACTCTGTGGAAAGGTCCGCCAACGGAAGGATACCAACAAGCAGTGCAAAACAAAACACCTGATCTTACAAAATATGCCCTTTGTCGCTCGGCCTTCTATAAAAGTTGCCGCCCACTCTTGCACAGATCTCGCCATCGTCACGCAACCAGACCGCGGCTGCCGAGGCGACCGCCTGCCGCCTTTGTGAAGCCGACGGGATCGCCCGAGAGCAAGTCCGACGGGAGAAAACGTATCAAAAATATCCGGCTCTGCACGGTCGGCGCTCGCCCTCGGTCGGTCCCGCCGCGAGCACGCTCCACGCTCTCATTCGACCGCTCGGGCGGAAGACGCGCCTACAACTCGTCGTGCTTGCCGTCGTCCTCCTCGTCCTCTTCTTCCTCCTCCTCCTCCTCGCTCTCCTGCGGCGGCGCGGGCGGCGGTGAGACACGACACCGAGCCGCCGTTGGCGCACGGAAAGGCAAACACAGAAGAGCAGACAAGCCGGCGCATTTGACTCGACATCTTTTGTTTCTCGACTATGTTTCTCGACTAGACATTTTAGTTCGACTCGACGTTGTCGGGAATCTCGGCTTCCGCCTCCCCAGTGATACATCACGCATCACACAATATGGGATACCACGGTAGATCTAATAATGCATATACGATGACATACAGACCGATCTCGAGGACGTCAATTGCACAGCACGGCGATAACCGCAGTCGCCACAGATAGCTACAGGCAGACGCGAAGCAGACGAGCAGCCACACTGTGGACGAAGCTGGAGAAGCATATGCAAAGCTCGAGCACGAGAGCGGCAGCGAACTAGGCGTGCAGACGGGTGCGTGCAAACAAGCATTCCACTTACGTAAGTCCACAGCGATGTCACGCGCCACCAGACAGAGGATTGGAGACTTAACGCGGGTCTTGCCAACCCGTCCCCCGGCCCGGCAGGAGGAGCGTGCGGGGAGACATCCCACGTGAGCTGTCTTGACCAGTCAAACCCGCCCAACCCGCGATGACCTCTCACTTCGGGCCCATCTCTGAAGCGTTTGAGCGTCCCTAGTCCCCAGCCCCTGACTGGTCCCCAGGCTTCTGAACCCGCATACCACCCGTTCGTCAAGTTGTACCTCACCTCCGGCGCACACGTACGACGCATTAAACGGCATCGCGTGTGACCTGTTAGTCATGCGGGGGAGTTCCCCCTCAACCCTGTTCGGCCTATGCTACTCGGTGCACCGTCACCAGCCGGGCCTCCACCTCCGTCACCAGCCACCTGACGTCCACCACCGCATGCTGACGCGTCTCTCACGGCACGCTCTCTTACCTGGCCCTTGCCCTCCAGGAACTTGGTGAAGCCATCGAGCGTGCGCTCACCGTTGTAGTCTACAACCTACGGCCAGGCGAGAAAACGGTGCTTTAAACCACAAACAGGCAAACGGAAAACACACGAGCGGGGGAGGGGGGGGGGGGGGGGGGGCGACGGCCGCGGGCTGGCCGGCGGGCGCTTTTCAACCTGGACCAGCGCCGCCGCCTGCCGGCCGCGGCGCCGCCCCACACAGCCAGCACGGCGGCCGGGCCGGCTGGCCGGCTGGGTCAGCGTCGAGCGGTGCGAGCGGTGCGGTGCAGGGAGCGGGAACTGTGCGTGCCACGCGGCTCGGTACCTCATCCGACTCGGTGCCGGAGTCGGACGCCTGGCCCTCGGCGCCGCCCGACTCGACAAACTTGCTCAGCCCCTCCAGGGTCCTGTCGCCGCCGTACTCAACGGCCTGGCGCCGCCGGCGGGCCGGTCAGTGGGGCGTCACAGGGCGTCACAGAGCGGCGCGGCGCGACGCGGCGCGGACAGACGTCCGGTCGGCCGGCCGGCGCGACAGGTGACGGTGGCGACATTTGGGCGACCGCGACGGGCGCCGCCACGTGGTTCGCCCCGCGGAAATGTCAGCCGCGACAGGAGTGACGGCGCCGGCGCGTTCAACAAGGGGCGCCGATGACAAACCGGCGCACGGCCGCCGGACTAACAGCTCAACGCCACCTGACGGCTCTACTATAACACGTGTCGGACAGGTACAAAGCCCGATACGTTTGTGTGATACGATGGGGTGACAAGAACTCAAATATCGTTTAAACGCGTGACGCATTGACGCGTAAATTGGACGTCCAAATGTTAACCAAATGGATACTGCTAAACTGTGGCAATGTCCATGGCCGCACCTCGTTCGTCTCCTTCTTCCACAGCTTGATGGTGGGGAAGCTCTGGATTTTGGTGTGCTCCAGCTCGTTGACGGTGGCGTCCATCTTGGCGATGACCACCGAGTCGGAGTCCTTGAACTTCTCACCCAGCTGCAGAAGGCACATCACGCCATCAGCGCCACGCCACGGTCCGGCCAGGCAAACATCGGGACCCCCACAGCCACCACGCCATCATCTAGCAATGCTGGAACGACCACTTTACAGACAGCGTCACAATGGTCGCTCGCAGCTTTCTTCGCGACACTTCTCGATGTAGCATCGAGACGAAGTGACCCCATCCGAACTGGTGAAGACACGCCCTCCGCCCAGCGTGTGCTGGCTGCTCGCACCCAACGAGGAACGCGCCGCGAACCCGGGCCGGCGAGCGGCTGACCCGACAGCACCTTCCCGCCGACCGGGGTGTCTCGGCGCGTCATGCCGATGAACGTCACCGCCGCCCAGTCGCCCCTCACCTCGTCGTAGATGGGCGCCAGCTGCTTGCAGTGGCCGCACCACGGCGCGTAGAACTCAACCAGCACGTCCTTCTTCTTGTCCATCGCTACCTCGTCGAAGTTGCTCGAGACGAGCACCTTGACCGGGGTCTTGTCCCAGTCCTCGGGCAGGTCCTGGCTGAGCAGATGCTGCTTCAGTTTGTCGGCGAGGAAGTCCTCCACGAACGAGCGGATCGTGTCCGCATCCAGGCCAGTCTTGGCCGGCTTGAACTTGGTCATGTCGTCCTCCATCTTGATGATGCGCAGGGCCGGCACCTCCTCCTTCTTCATGCCGAAGAACTCCATGATGCGGGCGTGGTCCTCCTCATCGGTATCGATCGAGACCACCAGGATCTGAGGAACGGCAGTGTGGTCACCTCCAGCAGACTCCACACACCACAACAGTGGTGGGCACCATGCTCAGCTGCCATTCCTGAACAACAAAGACCAAGGCGAATTTTTAAAATCCAATATGAATGTAATAGCATAAGTTTTGAGAGCCAGGAGAATCAGCATTAAGTTCATTCAAAAGGCAATACAGAACTGAACAAAACAAGCTTTTGAGCCCATGTACCTTGCCCCGCTGCTCCTTGGCCACTGATGTAGCTGCCTCAGTGTGCTTGCTAAAGTCCTCTGCCTTCTTGCTCAGGAACATCAGCAGGTGCGACTTGATGTCACCGCCGAAAATCTTCTGGGCCGTCTCCTGGTTGAACTCCACCACCAGCGGCAGGGAGTACTTGGCGATGAAAGCTTTCAGGTTGTCTGCCTCCACCTTGTCTTCCAGCTCGTGCCGCTTCTCGTCAAACTGCAAACATATGACAAGGATTAGCGACAGAGAAACGCAGCCGCGCGCCGAGATCCCGTGACAAACCACGGACCCTCTGCGCAACCACGAGGGTCGTCTACGCCAACATAGCTACGAAAGGTACAATTCTGTAACACAGACGAACGTGCCGCATGAAAGATCAAGACCGCATATTCCTGGCCATACACAGCATCTGTTTGCAATTTCAGTGGTTACCTTCTTGAAGAGGATGACCTTGCCATCAGCTGCCTCCAGCTTGGTGATGACTTCATCGGTGGAGGTGATGGCGAAGGGGTAGTCGTCCATGCCGCCCGCGAAGCTCAGGAACTCCTTGGCATCCTTGCTCTCCTGGTCCTTGAAGAATCCGACGATGACCACCTCGCTGTCCTCAATCAGCTTCTCGGCGGCCTCGGCCGTCTCCAGGATCGTAGCCGGAGGCCCGGTCTTCTTCTTCAGCCAGTTGATGATCTCGTCCTTCGTGCGGCCGCCGCCGTACTCGGAGTCCTTGCCGTTCCTGAAGAACTTCAGAGTCGGGTAGCCGCGCACGCCGAACTTCTGGGCAACCTTGTCGTGCACGGTGGCGTCCACCTTGGCGAGCTTCACGTTGCTCTCCTCCTTTTGGAGAGCCTGGGCGGCCTTGGCATATTCAGGAGCGAGGGATTTGCAGTGTCCACACCACGGGGCATCTGAAATGAGATCAGAAAAAGGTGAGCAGTGCTGGCCACTTCTCACTTAAACTATATGTTGAATGGTCACCACTGTTCCAACACACAAAATGTAAATGACAGCAATGAGCCAAGGCACAATAATCTGCTAGAAAAACATCTTACTTCACAACCATATATGAACCAAATAAATGATGAAATACTGCTGCTTACACTGAAGAAAAGCAGCATATCACAATGACTTGTCAAGAACAAAACCCAACCCAACTGCACCTTCCAGTTTGGGGCATATTTTCCCAATGTGGATATGCTACTTGATTGTAGTTTATTGTCTAAGCAAACAGACGTGTCACATATCTTCTCCCATCTGTGTATTTTTAATCTGCAAAGGGTATTCAGCATCCTCCTTGAAAATGAACTGTATTCCATGATATACTTAAATAACTGAATGATTCAACAAACATGTGAAATGTAACACATAGATAAGGCAGTAGCCATAACCTTAGGTCTCAGAGAAAAGCCCCAAATGTAGATTTTGCTATTCTTCTGCCAAATGTCATGTAAATGTAAAATGTGATGATGTAAACTGGGATCTGGGGCACCCGAGCACCTACTGCCATCTGATGCCCATAAATGTAAAATATGAGACACAATACTAGAGTTGTTATCAAATCTGGAATGAATCAAATCAACATCTGCTCAGGTCAGCTTCCTGTGAAACTAATCACAAAATTGTGATTGCACTGCATGCTCAGGCAGCTATATGTTGATATTTGTGCCTACAATATGTGCACCTGCATTTCCAAATTTATCAGCTTGGTGCTCAGAATGTAAAAAATGACTTCATGAAATCAGAAGTTATGTCTGCTTGCAACCTCCACAGGCACTTTGGCTGTTAATCACTTGTGCTCTCCCAAACCGCAGCATCTAACACGCCCAGCTCATCCCGACACCCATATGCAGGGTGCCTTTGCCTAAATGCTGGGCTGTCTGGCTAAATACTGGGACAACACTGCTCTAGCTCAGTGTGGATTGGCTGATTTCAACCCGTGGCAGGAGTGAAAGGCATTGGGACCTAAACCTGAGAGTGATAGTATTATTAAATGTAGACATCTCCACACCCAAGTGGCCAAACATTCACCATCCTGATGAGTATGTGTCTTGAATAGTATGACATACAGGTTCATTCCAAAATACTGCACAACTGCATGGCATTTCACACAGTGAGATCAATCACACAATCTTGTGTCCCTGGAGGTGACTGTCATCCCAGTTTACCTGTACCCAACCATCTTTTGTCTGAAATCATAAAAATGTGTGTAAAGCTTTCCTGCATTCTTTATTTAGTTGTAACAGTTGCCATCCTTGTTCAGAAGTTCATGAAGCAGAGACATACCTCACCCTGGGGAGTGCATGAACATGTCACCAATGTCTTGACAAATTGCTCAGCCACCTATTACACCCTACAACCAGGCAAGTCTCCAAAATAATACATGCACTTTGCCAGTTGCCTTTTCAACTCTCATGAACTGAGCCTGGCACATGTGTGCTAAGCTTGGGTCAGGCCAAATTGTCCTGCATTCTCATCACCATGATCTGGAAAAATTTTGTGCAGTTATCTTCGCCTGATATTACCTAAGCAACATCACAACTATTTGAAACATTGGGTGCCCACCATTAACAAAACCACATACCACCAGGTAACAAGTGAAGGATGCAGGGGCATAGTCTCACTTCAGTTGTGCGCAGAAAGCTGTCCAAACTGCAACAGAGCCCCATTTAGAGTACTTTTGTAGTAACTTTATCCATATTCCCTGCTCGGCCCCCCAAGACACGATTAAAGAAACTACACCCTAATGGCACATGTACACATATGGTAGTGTATGAAAGTGGGAACTTTAATATTGGATCAAATCCCACCCCAAACAATGATATGAATAACAAGATGCCAAATCTAAGCAGCTACTGACTGTCTAAGAGAAAAGACAAGGGTTCAGTGACCAAGCCGAGGGCATTCGCCGGCAGGGCATTCAACTCTTAAGTCATTTAGTTGGTTGGCAAGTCACTATGCGGGGAAAACGACTGCTAGTAAAGCCAAGTCTATCCTACACCCCACACACCACATCAACAGCACAGTTCAGTTGGAACCACTCAGAAAGCCGGGCAGTGTAGCCGGCGAGGCAATGGGCAAGTACTCACAGAACTCCACAAGGATGAACTCATTTTCCTCGATCGCCTTGTCGAAATTATCCGCAGTCAGGACCAAAACTCCTTCTTCTTCTTCGATCGCGTACGCAGACACCAACAGAACACACAGAGAAAGGAATAACCTCATGGTGGTGAATGCTGAATCCCCCGTCCTTACAAACTTATGCCAAGCGGAGAAATGGGACGTCTGGCCGTCGGGATTGCCCGAAGACCCGGCTCTCCACACGAACGTGGCAGTTTCCTTGTCGTGTGATGGTTTCATTGGTTACTGTTGCGCATGCGCATTGCCGGATGGTGCTCGCGCTCGGCTAGACTCATAGGAAGACGGTAGAGAGATATTCTACCGCTTTTGTGCACCTTTTCACGTGTCTTTTTTCGTGGTAGAGTCAGCTCCTCGATCAAATTACGTGGAGTGAGTCACAGAAGATGGAGTGAAGAGCTACGTATACTTATCATGGTGTTCGACAGTCATCTGGATGCAGCTTCTGAATCAGCATTTCCACTAATGGTGTTTGTGCACCACTGGTGTGCCAGATTCCAACATAGGCACGCGTTGGATTGGAGGAAGTCAAATTGGCCCTTTAAAGTGTTTTAAAAATAACTTCCGAACAGCGTAGTGACGCTGCGTCAAAGTTCGGACATTTATAGCCGATTACAGCTCATCTTTTGGTGTTAAAAATTGGATGAAGCTTGTAAGGCCGCTGACCTACGACAGGCCAAAGTGGACTATAGCTGTAAGCACACAGTTTTTAGGGAATTGGTAAACGTGATGAGGCAACGATATATTAGGCGAGGCCATACATCTTAAGACAATTGTTTGCCAACTAGATAACTTGATTCAGGATCATGACTTATTCCATTGATCTTGGTTCAGGGCGCAGTTTCACAAAATGAGCTGGGCTGGCGGCTGGACAGTGAAATGTGATGTAATATCCAAAAAAAGCCAACCAGCAGGCTGCTCCACATATTTGGCCTACTTTCTTCCTAAAGTTGGAGGACGAGGAGTGAACCTAAGTTGGGGGGGGGGGGGGGCGGGGCTGAAGCCCCCCAACCGAAGACGAAACTATACCTCTAGCTGCCTTTGCTCAGGTATGAAGGTCAGGTAGAGATGAAAATGAAGATGCTTTTTTAATTTAGCTTTGGTGGGTAGTTTCTTAAACTCATTTCGAATTCCTTGACCACAGACGTAGGCGTAGGAACGTTTAAAAAAGTGCACGGCCAGGCTCAGGGTATATTTCAGAAACCTTTTTATAAAGAAAGCTCGGTGATCGGGGGGGGGGAGTAAAGATGGAGGTTATGTTTCCTTTTACTTCACATGACATTATTTCGAGAATAATGAATTGTCATTGCTGCTATGCTAAAGATACATGTGCAGCTGTTTTTCTCACTGCTGCCCATTACTGCCTGTTCGACTCAGATACGGTCATTCAGTAAATAAGGATTATCCACCCTCCTACGATTATACGTCCATTTCGACATCGTTTTCCCTGGGGACGCGAAATTCCACGAGCGGGTAGACAATTTTGGGTAATTGGAGAACCATCTACTTCCACGGGGTGGATGCCCAAAATACGTCCACGACATAGGCTGGTCAGAAAACTGAGTGTGAAGCGTTTGCCCACAGTCCATCTGAATTTCCACGCGCCTAGATTGCGCGGGCTTCTTTTCTAGAAATAAGATTTGTCGCAGCATTTTAGACGGAAACAAAGTCGGAAGCTTCAAATACTAACTGCCGAAGACAGTGTTTTTTTCCTGTAAAAACTAAGTTACAAAATGGCAGCTCTTCTGTCATATATTCCTTACATGAGCTCCTGCTCCCGTCCGCCGTCAGGCAGCCACTGCCCTGGCCCGGCTGACCCCCCCCCCCCCCCCCTACCTAGGACCGAATACGAACTGATGGTATGGCCGCCTTGCTGCATATTTAAGGATTAGCATCATCACTCATTGGTGTGTGAAACATTCGTTGGACACCTGTGACATTATCTTGTTACGGATTGTCTTTCCTTATACCACACCACCCCACAAAAAGCTTTCGGGAAGCTGCCTGCCCAAGGCATCAATTGCCATTCAATTGCCCCTCATTCAACGTAGCCGGCCTGATTTACTATTGTATGTTAGCGGGGGCGTGGCCAGAGCCTTGCCAAGGAGGCACAGGGTCGACGAAATCCCTCCTGATGGTGACCTCCCCCAAAAAGATCGCTGTGATAGCTTTGGTGTTAAGAATGGACAAGGACACCTCCGTTTTCTTGTAAGTTTAGCCTTGTGACTTGAACAGAAACAGAAACTAGAAGCTGCCGAGAGACCTATTCTGTTCGTATTTTGAAGTCAATAAGCTGCAGAAATCATGCGTTTAACGACTGCATGGAATAAATCACCGGTGCTCTTAGCTTACGACGGTTCAATGGACTCTTTCCTAACCCATAAAATTCAAACGTTTTGTCAAATTTTTGCATGGGAAACGACATTAAGGGGCCCGTAAAGGTGGGTTATAAATCGAAATGTGTAAAAAAATGTGTATTAACATGGCCAAGCCTTGTTTGTCTGAAAATTCTCAACATTCAGTCAGTCGATTGGCGATGTGAATTGTGCAACGTAGTTGTGAACATGCACGCTTCACTCGCAAATCTTAGCAAGCAAAAGCCTCGCCGCCAGGCGTTGTAGTCTCCCCAGGGGCACAGCGCCTCGGTCCATCGGCCAATACTGAGCCACGGCCAACGGGTGAACAAAAATGATGACGTTCCTGAAAAAAGCATCTTTGTACGCTTTAAGATGTCAAGTCTTACGTTTAGAGGTAGTCTGGATGCATATTTCATTTGTGCGATTTTTAAATCAATGATAAATTCGGATTGGCCCTACCAGCACCGCGAAGTGATGCTGGAATCTGGCGGTGGAACTGGAAGAGTAAAGGTGGAATCCCTATTTTTCGTGCTGTTGTAACTGCTGATCGGACGGGTCAAATACGGCGCTCGCCGCCTGGTGTCACTTGCAGTCGCCAACATCATTCGGCTTTACGGAAGCTGCAAACCAGACTATCGCAGTCTTTGTTCCCAAGATTGGGGACAGGCATGTCAAGCCTTTTGATGTATGTTTCACTTAACTATTTTGCAAAAAAAAGATAAACGTTATCAGGCAGACATAGGATGGCCTTGTTCGTTTTCGAGCTCATTTCGATCCACTCTTTTCAACAATAAGGGGATCCCTAATTTTCTTCCGGGCAAGGGGACCCTTGAGTCGGACACTAGAGTTACGTTAGTGCACCCGGTTAGTAGCTGAAGGATCATTCCGTCCCATCGCGGGGTGTCTTATTCTGGTGACACGTGGCGGGACCATCTGACCGATTCGGAGAATCTTAGAGAGATACATTACATTACCCCGTCATCTTGGCGCGGGAGCCCCGCGCAGTTGACCCCGCATCAACGTAGGAAACCCCACTGGCGCAAGGACTTCCCTGATCGTCGCAGGTGCTCCAATAACTGTCACGCAGAATCCAATCCCAGACTTCTTTCTCTGTACTTCAGTGATACTGAGGACCCCTGAACGTAGATTGTAGATCGCATTGGTATCCCAAATTTGTGTTGACATGGATAACCCATGTTCGTTTTAAAAGGTTTTGCATTCAGTCAGGATTAATTACTGAGGGTCAATATGTAGCATGAGTTTGAGCATACATGTTCGTAAATCTTAGCAACAACAGCCTGAACGCCCGGTGTTGCAGTCTCCATAGGCCGCGCGGCGTCGGCCCGGCGGTTGTGACACTAAGCAATGGTTAATCGACAGACGAAAAAAATGGCGCATCTTGAGAAAGATGGTCTGTGACTTATGTATGTCGGCGTGTACACTTAATGTGGTACAAAAGTAAGCTGAACACAACTTAAATCGGGGGAGGGCCGTCAACATTGCTGGCACCACCACCTTGCAAAGTGGGGGAAGGACCTTGGCCCCCTGCCCCCCCCCCCCCCCTGTTCCTACGCCAATGATCACAGGGTGGTCAATGGATGTGTTACGTCAACTTCATAAAAGTCAGGAGAAGCCACTGATGTAGAATATGACCCCGGTCAACCTTTTGTATTTGGGACCATATCGCCTGGCGTGGCCATTGACGTGTATTGAAAAACAAAATTGAAACAATCTTGCAGGGCTTTGGTCACTGTGACGTTGTGAATGTCAAATAAGGTTACTGGCCTGAAGATCACCAGCCACTTTCTGCTTAGGAGAGGTGTTCAAATTAAAGGTAGTTGGATAAGGAGGTCTGAGGGAACTTCAGACACCGATCTGAATTTTGACCTTGTTTGAACATGTTTGACCCAAATGCGGCAACTTTGGGGTCTAAAAATGCAGCATAAATGAGTTAACATATAGGCCTGTCTGTTCTATGAATTTCGTGCGTCCAGCTCTCTTAGTTATTTGAGATTTCATGTTATTGTCATATTGGGCATATTTGGTCGCCCATCTGGCCATTCCAGACCAACGTCTGGTACTCCTGTGGGAAACCCATATGGGCAATGCATTGGAAGCTGAAACATGTTCATTGTGATTCAGGGCCTATTTTTGCAAGCGCCCGGGGGGGGGGGGGGCGGTTGAATATCCTTTGCTTGGGTGGGGTCAATTTGACCCCCTGAAATCTCAAAACCTAAGAGTGCTAGAGACACCAAACTCGCAGGGGGGTTTTAAGTCTGCATATGAACTAACCTGTGTCCAAATTTGAGGTCCATAGGTCATGATCATTTGGTCACATGAGGCCAAACAAGGTCAAATTCACCATTGCTTTTCAAAGTGCCGCAGAAATCCTCGGCAACCGCATTCAACCTAGATACCTGTTTTAAGTGAAAGATCGCTGGTGTTCATTTTAGTTCAGTGTATTTGTTTGGCCTTTATGAGGTTATAGTGATTAAAAACCTACGACATTGTTTTCTTTTCTCGATAATTTAAGCACTAAGGATTACCCTACGAGGTATGTCTCTAAAAACAAATGGTTGATCTGGCCATTCAAGGCCAGTAATTTACTTTGACCTTTCAAAAGTCCATGGGAGTTGTCTGTTGCGGCCCCTGTTATCAAGAGATTCGAAAGGAGCATCAAATGTCGACCCATAAAGCAAGTTAACCCAGTAAAAAGTTTGGCTTTGAGTTCAGTTTGACCTTCATACCTAACCCTAGGCCACTGGAGTTTGTTTAAATCCATCCACTAAATATAAGTACTATTTTTTGT